GATTTCTACTGTCTTGTACTGCTTGATTATCTATGTTATGTTATATGTTTCTTTCTAAATACAGTATATGCTTTTATTAAAATTTAAATAAAATAATTTGATTTTTTATTGAAAATAAAAAATATGTACTTTTAAATAAATAAATATATATGTATAGGCCTATATATTCTTAAGGGGCGGCAATTTGTCTTTTTGTCCGGGGCGTCGTAACCGCTAAAGAGGGTTCTGCTTAGAAGTATAAATAAGTAGACTACATGTCAGGAGTTGCAATTTGGCACAGAGCATTTTGTGCCCAAATCATGCGCACATAAAAAAACCTGATTTGTAGATAGTCAGGGAACCGAGAACCGGGGCAAAATAAAACACGAAATGGCGACACTGTTTCTACAAACGACTGCGAGATTTACGCGCGTTGCTCGTTGGAAAGTTCGAAATGCGAACTTGCGAAATCGAATTTTGACAAATACGTAACACACGTTAAGCGTGTATTCTCTTGCTCTTGTCGTTTCGATTTTGTTATGTGTTGCTGACACCTCATTCGGATCCCTTTGACCCATTAATTTCACCGAAAATACCTCGTAAACAACATCGTTAGTTTTCACTTGTCTCACAGTGAATTCAAATGTGGAAGAACTTTCTGATTGCTCGTGTTAGCGGGGACGTAGCTCAGATGGTAGAGCGCTCGTTTCGCATGCGAGAGTTACCGAGATCGACGCTCGGCGTCTCCTGATACATTTTTTAAGTATTTTAAATGTGATTTTCTTTTCTAAAATCGTCTGTCCGTTTTCATTACATCCAGTTTGGGTAAACGATGTAATCGAATTCTCGAAATAATTCTTAGATTTATACTAGAGTTAGCAAATAATTCTGTCTGAGATTTAAGCGAGAATTCACTTTGTCATACATTAAGCTGAAAAAAATTCCGTTTTGCAACTTTAAAACTTTTTAATTCACCTAAATGTGTTTTCGAAATTCTTATCATTTCGGAAGCAGGCTGCAAGTGCGTCGTCAGTATAAAGTCGGTAACAACGATACACGTCTCCGGAAGTGACGAAGCGTACAGGAAAATAAAAATTACTACTAAATGGAGGAGCCGAGTATCGACCTTTCGAATTCAAAGCGAGCGCTCTACCATCTGAGCTACGTCATCGACGTTCGAAACACCTTTACGGTTCATTTTCATTCTTTCATTGTCTACTGCCAGTAACGTTTTCACAGTTGTAATCGATTATCTTCGTGTTTCTGGCTGAGCGATGCGATCTCGGTGCGAAACTTGAAATTTTTCGGATTGTGGTCGAGTTTGAGGAACGTGGGAAGATAAATGAAATTGTTTTTGAAATGGCAACATTGTCCAGAAAGTACTGATCCGGACTTGTTCGAAAAGTCAACGTCTACCGCTTACTGATGTCTGCTTTCGAGAGCAGTGGCTAAGCATCGCACCGGCAGATTTTTGCGGTACTTACTGTTTACAACTGCCGCGCGCCGACGCTTTCGTTTTTTACAAGACACTGGCCAGTTCCGTGCATTGATGTGTTACACTGTACTGCACAGGACGTGAAGAACCGAGCAAACTGGCCGAAACCGTGAAAACATTGACTATTTGCGAAAATTCTCCTAATAAATTGGTCGTTGCGTTTGCTTAAATGATTATTATGCGGATAAAAAGCGTTTTAAAAAAGGAACTAATATAAAACGACATTTAAATAATACCAAATTTAAAAATGTAATGCCCTAATTTGTACCTTCTTAGCCTGAACCTCTACACTATAGCATATTGTAAGCCTACTTATGTGCAAATTCAGTTCTGTAACCCTCTCTCTCTGATATGAACACGACAGCAAGTAGAAATATTGGAAAAATACATAAAAATCCAGAAAATTTTTGTATTTTATAAACTTTTCACAAAATTAGAATTGTACAACGAATATTAGATTCAACAATTAGTCAAGATTTATTGTAATCTACGTCTGCGTTTTCAGGAATATTTATAATGAATTAAATTTAAAATCGATTGCGAACTATCTCTAAAAATATCCAAGTCAAAACCTTTACATTTAATTAAGATAATCAGTATTAATTCACTTTTAATTGGTTAATTATTATTTGCACAGAAAAATTTCCATTTAAAACGCACTCTTCCTAACAAAAAAGCAAAATAATAAAAGGTCAATTATAACAACTATTTTTCACGTCTTATCGAAGACGAAAAGCAATTTTAAGGATTAGTTTTTGATTTTCTCCTCTTTATTTTCAGAATTTATCGCACGCGCTGTACAATAATGATAAAGAGTGATGTCTAAGGCCAGAACGATGAGAAAAGGCGTCGGTCTGCTGCTCAAAGGAATATTAATTCGAATGTAATTCAAGAATTTTCATGAGCGAATTCAGATACATCGAGATTCGTCCCTCGTCACAAAATTACGTACTTAATTCACATTTTCAGCAATTATTTTTATAATGAAACTGATTTGTACTACGCTAACTGCACAACAATGCTTCCTGTTTAAAACGGGAAGTCTACTTTACGAGATTGAATTGATGATATAAGGCTAAAGACTAAAGAGAGAAAGACATGGCCGAGCAGTGAGCATAGCCAGTGAAAGGGAAGGAAAGAGAGAGGAAGGAGTGGTGAGTGAAGGTGGAGAGGTGGGGGAAGGAGAGGTGGTGAAGGATGAAGTGGGATCCATGAGCGCCTGCTCGGGTCCGTTGGTTTAACATAAAACACATACAGAGAGCAAAAAACGGTGACTACAAATGATCCAATAATGGTACAAAGATTAAAAGTGACAATATACACACAGAGACAGACAGTGCCTATTTATAGTGGAAGCGGCACAAAACATATTATAGGGTTAACACACAGAAATTGGAGGGTAGTTGCCAGTACCCCCTAGAAAGTATTTACAACACAGACCAAGAACAACCCAAGTTGGTGGGTTACCGTGCTTGAGTACCGGCATGATGACCCGTTACAGCCTTTACTAGATAACTAACAAGGTAACTATTAACAAGCCCAATTTACAAAAGAATTAATATCGCGGTATACAGGGTTGAGCCTAACATAGGCTAAACAGTAAACAGGATTAATAAAACTAAAATACATTAATAAACAAATAAATTGTGTTTACAAATAAACACAATAAATGAGTAAATACAGCCAGGCCCGCCGTAAGCGGCGTGCAAGGCGTGCACCGCACACGGGCGGCACGTTCAGGGGGCGGCAAATCGAGCGATCGGTCACGCAATAATTAGTCATAATACCCACCCTACTTATCCCCACCCTAGTCATAATAATTGTCATAATACCCACCCTACTTATAGCATAAGAAATGTAATCGCATGGAGAAAAAAATCCGACTGGCGCGCAATTACTATATTCTTATTTATATTATAGCGTTAACAGCGCCTCTATTGGCATTTATCAGAATTAAGATGCAATGCGAAACGTCTGTCGGCAGGTCGAACCATCTGGCCGGCACCCGAAAGCCAAGTACCAATAGTCGTGCTGTATGATAGAAGTTGACAGGTTTGGCGAAAATAGGGAATCCCTACAGAGCTTCCTTCTCAATTTGTACTTGTACGCATTCGAACAGTTCTATTGCATATCAAATTGCAATTATTTTGTTAATAATTCTTCTGACATGGGTCGAAGTATAATTAATGATATTTTAACTTGGTTAGGATTTAAATCTGAAGCTTAAAGACGATTCAAGTAGTGAAACAGACATTGACAGTATTGATTTGTTTAATGAAATCAATACTTTAAAGTTGCATTTTCCAGAAAACCAGTCTAATGATCCACAAACCCCATTACAATATCTTTTTACTAATGACTTAATTTCAACAGTTCCAAACACAGCAATAGCACTAAGAATATTACTTACATTGCCGGTTTCAGTTGCATTTGGTGAAAGGTCCTTTTCAAAGTTAAAAATTATAAAAAACTATTTAATT